CTTTGCCATTGCATTATTGTTCGCATATTGTTGCATGATATTATTATTTACATGTTGTTGCATGTTTATGATGTTTAGCATGTTGATTAGATAGCATGTTGTTGCATGCTTGATATATAACATGTTGTTGCATGCTTGTTCCATTGTATTGTTATTGCATGCTTGAGTTGCATTGCATAGTGCTTGCATGCTCATGTTTCATTACATTGTTTGCATGCCATTAGCTTTGTTAAGTTGTGCATGCATTGCATTGTGTTTGGTTTGAGTGTTAAGCCAAACACGAGAAACGAGGGACATTTCATACTCGAAGTGATGAAACGTGCCTTAATTCTCGGTCGCCGGCCCTCTTGATCATGCATGATAGAGGTTAAGGCATTTATATGTTTTTGTGCATTCATTTGGCATTAATTTGTGCAACTCGACCTCTTTGGCTATCATGCATCGAAATGCGTGATTGATGGCTTGAGAGTCGAGCACTGCACACCTTTAAGCCTTAGACATGATAAGGGGTGTAGTTGCACACATATTTTCTTGCAAATATATTGCCATGCCTCTGTTTGTGCTCTGTTGCAGTAGAAAGGAGAGTTTGCAGGAAGACATGGCCAATCGGCTATCTAGTGTGCCGATCGTCTATCAATAATTGGCCGATAGCCTCAAAATTGGTCGATGACCATTATCCTTTGGCCGATGGCCATACCTCTTGGCCAATGACCTCTCAGCATGTCCATGAGGTGGATCAGAAGTGTTTTGGAGATTGGCACAATTTTCAGAAGTCTAAAACAGTGCAAGCAGAGGCAACATGAGGCATGGTAACAAATTTCCGAGCGAGGCGATTGAGCATGCATCTTCGAACTCTTAGAACTGAGCCGAGGCTTTGTAATTTGTAATTAGCTTTACTTGATTAGTTAGCTTTTGAATTTGTAATTAAACTAGTTAATTTGTTAATTAGTTAACGTGTTGTAATAATTAGCTTAGTGTTAGCCAGTTATTCAATTTGATTATATAATAATTAGTCTAATTAGATAATTAGATTAGTTGCTTAGCTTAACGTAGCTAGCTTAGTGCACTCATTCGGACCCTCCGTCGAGAGGGCGAATTTTCTAATAAGTGTGCGTAAGTGTATGAATGTCTTCCAACCCCACGTCTTTCTCCCTTTTACTTATCAGCTTTTGATGGTTAGTTCTAGGACGTATTTCAATTAGCATCCTTATGCTTTGCATGCGTGCATCATTCATCTGTCTTGCATGCACCGGCCATGAATTAGATCAGAGGTCGTTCATCTATGTAATGGACCAAAGGGCGTTCTCACTACGTCAAAACAGGGCATTAACGGCAGTTTTTTTAACGGCGGTAACGAAAATCGTCGTTACAGGTACTATTAACGGCGGTAACGAAAATTGTCGTTAAAAATATCATTAACGGCGGTTTTGTTACCGCCGTTAAAAAAACGGCCGTTAATGCCCACTTTTAACGGCGGTAACAAAACCGCTGCTAATGCCCAATCATTACCGCCGTTAATGACGGCGGTTTTTGCCGGCGAAACTCCAGCGTGCTCCGGCGAAACTCCGGTGAAACCATCTACAATAAAGTAAAAGTAATGTTTAAATATTTATTTAGGGAATATATTTCATGAAGAGTGGCTATGGTAGAGTGGTTAGTGTGGGTGGATGAGACGTTGAGGGTTTAAGACTTGGGGAGTGCAAGAAGAAAGAATTATTTTTTGAAAAATTTGAACCTATTTACGGCGGTAAAAAACCGCCGTTTTTGGTCGACTTTTACCGACGGTAATTTACCTTTTTACCACGGTTGTACTTTTTCTGACACGCGCATAAACGGCGGTAACAAAACCGCCGTTAATACCGCCGTTAAAGGCTTTAACGGCAGTTTTACAGCCTTTAACGGCGGTAAAAAATCGCCGCTAAAGCCCAATTTTGGCGTAGTGTTAGAATAACCGAGCCTATCTTAGTTGCATTTTGCACGTGTTGCATTAGGCATTCTTAACATAGCTAGGATCATGCATGATTTCTAACTAGCTTCTTTTTTGGCTCGGAGTACATTGTAAGTGTTTATGCTTTAGCATCTTGCATGAGTGTGACTGTTGCCATGATAGCATGCTTGCCATGAGGCTAACTACTTAAGTGTTTAATTGCATGAATGCCTGTGGATGAAGGTTGGATTGCTTGAATTGGAACAATTCATCGAAATACGAGTTTTAAGCCCACTTGAGGTGGCAAAATCATGTTTTCTAAAGCTCACTCGAGGGTGGAAAATCCACGTCTTAGTCTACTTACGAGTAGCACCTTCAAACCATTTTCAAACAAACAAACATGAGATGTTTTGTTGCAACCTAGGCGATTTAGTCTATACTTGTATGCTGTGCGCATCATGTAGTAATAATAGATTAATAAACCGGTTAAAAATACATATGTTTTCAAAAACAAAATATCATGTTAATAAAGACCGATCCTTTGATCAGGCGAGCAGGGGTGCTCATTGCATGACCTTTCCCTCTCGTACCCAAGTTCCCAAGCCGAGGCAACTTTAGTGATGACGAACACGTGGCCCTAGGCATGAGTCAGGGTTTCCTAAATTTCCTCAAAATAAAATATTTAGGTGGTGACTCTGTATCTGGCAAAGCAGTCCATGTTTGGCACTTCTTTATTAAAATCAGTTTTCTAAAACGATTTGCCGGATTTGGACTCTTTGGTGATTTATCAATCTTGCATTGCACTTTGCAAGATTAGATTCAGAACCGTGACATTGAGCCCGAACTGTAGTAGCTAATGAACAAAACGATTTTGCGCCTTTGCGCGCAGAGCCGTGACGTTCGGGCGGTCTACAACCCCTTTGATCCAGCATCACTGACTCCTATAGAGCAAGTTGCCGTCACTGCTCTCCAAAGTGCCTTTTGGGAGGCATAGAAGTTTGGTTCCTGGTATGACCTTAGAACTAGGGAACTACTCCAGGAGAGACTTAAAAGGGACAAAACCACCTACCTTTTTTGGCTGAAGCATTTATTCAAGGACCTATAACCAGTTGTAAGCGACAACACCGAGGAGAGTCGTGACTCCGTAGTTGGGCCGAGCTACCGCGACAACTTGTACTTGGCTGCCTTCATCAACTATTTCATCTCCTTCTTCGTTCTACCAAGTAACCCTGCCGAAAGAATTAATCCCCTGGTGTTTCCTTTGGCTGTCAAGCTTTATAGCGGCAGTCAGATTCCTCGGGCCCCTCTCTTCTTGGGGAACCTATATTTCCATCTTGATCTCATCCATTTGGACATGGAGTGGTTTATGGGCCGCTACGATGTATGGAGCTTCGCACACACTCAATTTCTGACTACTTTTTTCTATGAGAGATTTCCTGTCATGGGCCCTATCCCTAAGGAAGATGAGCCCTTCTTCACCGATGAAGTCTTTGATGCAGAGGGCTTCCTTGTTTTAGATGCAGAGGGTCAGCCTGTCACAAGGCAAGTGCGTCAATCCTTCCCTCGCATCTCTCGGTGGTCTGGTCTCGGTACTAACAGACCCTTTGCAGACTATGTTGACCGTATGAAGGAGTGCGTGTTCTGCCCTTTCACTCAGTCTCTTTTGGGCATTTCTGTTGTCCCCTTTTATTTTTCAGAGGCCCGTCACGTTGATTTTTCTCTCGACAGTGTTCAAGCCAATTCTCTCCTTATTGCTATTAAGATTCGCGCCGAATTTTTGCCCGTGTGGAATGAAGAGGGCATGTCCAGCGTCGTCTGTCCACCGGGCAGGGTCCTTAGGCAGTTCAGAAAGGATCAGGGTATCCCGCATGCCTCTCTGCCTCAGACTGATTTCCACCAAAGCTTTCAGCGGTTTGCCCGCGACTACACTGCTCTACTTGTGAAGAGTGCTGAGGCCATGCTATTAAGATTCGCGCCGAATTTTTGCCCGTGTGGAATGAAGAGGGCATGTCCAGCGTCGTCTGTCCACTGGACAGGGTCTTTAGGCAGTTCAGAAAGGATCAGGGTATCCCGTATGCCTCTCTGCCTCACACTGATTTCCACCAAAGCTTTCAGCGGTTTGCCCGCGACTACACTACTCTACTTGTGAAGAGTGCTGAGGCCAACCTAAACTGCTTTGAGAGGAATGGTTTGAACCTATCATGGATGAGGGACAGGCTTCAGGCAATTGATGGTTTCCTTGAGCATGCTAACAATGTGGCGATAATTGCATCCTTAGAGGAGATTATCAAGGAGTGTGAGGGTGCTTTGGAACAGCACCGGCAGAACTTGACTCGGTTCAGAGAGAAGGACTTTGCATTGGTTGCCCAATTGCCTCGAGATGTAACTTTGATGGACTCCCTTTTGAAGGGTTGATTTGAGTTGATGTAACTCTGTGACTTTATTGTGATTTCTTCTATTTTCTCTTCTTTATTTTGTTGTTTCATCGCACTTGGTACACCTTTTCTTTTCTTTTTCTCTATCATAATTTCTTTTCAAACATTGCAATTATGTTCTGGAAGTTTGACTTTAATGGAAAGCATGGACGTTTGGTAGTACTTTTGGGTTTCATTTCATCGTTTTCTTTACATTGCTTTTATATAACTTCTAAAGATAAGCAAAACTCTTGCAGTGAGCAAAACTTCACCATGACTAAGCTTTTACAAGTGTAAAATTTCACTAAGTATGGAAAACTTTCCTTAAACAAAGTGTATATGAGAGCAAAAGATTTACTAAGTGTATGACACTTTCTTTACACTCTGCTTTGGAAGCATTAACAAAGAAACTTACAACTCTTTTTCCTGAACAAAAGAAACTAAAGAAAATATTCTTTGACATACTTGGCATTAACATGACCAATTCTGAATCCATTATCTACTCTTGTCAACTTGTAGTACCCGCTACTGCTTGTCTCAGCAACTTTGTAGGGGCCTTCCCATCTGGGTGAGAACTTGGGGATTGGTTGTCCCCGCATGATTGCGTCCACTGTTTTCCATACTAAGTTCCTTTCCTTGAACTTTCTGTGTTGAACAGATTAATTGTAGGCACATGCTATGGATTGATGATACTTTTCCATTGCCCGCGAGGCCCGATCTCTTATTTCTTCAGCTGCCTTTATGTCATTCTTCCTGCTGTCTAGAACTAAGTGTGCTGACATAGGCATCCTTGCTGAGGGTACTGCCAACTTAACTGGTTACACAGTTTCGGACCCATATACTAGAGAAAATGGGGTTACCTGAGTTGGCTTTCTCTTTGACGTTCTATATCCCCAGAAAGCTATAGGGAGTTGTTCAGACCATGTACCTCCTGCTTCATCCATCATTTTACTCAGTATTCGGATGAGGGTTTTGTTGGTTGCCTCAGCTTGTCTGTTCCCTTGGAGGTAGTATGGACTAGACTTGTGGTGCTTAATTTGGTAGGCATCCGGTAGTCTTCCAATGTGCCGATTTACAAAAGGAGTTCCATTGTCAGACAACATTACTTTGGGTATGCCAAACCTACAGATTATGTTCTCTCTGATAAAGTTGGCTACTCTTGCCCCATCTGTCTTTCTCATCGGTATAGCCTCTACCCATTTGGTACTAACTTCAGTTGTTGCAAGTATCCATCTGTAGCCTTTGGATTGTTGCGCTATAGAACCTACCAGGTCAAATGCCCAAGTATGGAACGGGTAAAGAGTCTTGATGTTGTGCAGTTCAACTGCTGGTGCATGTATCAAGTTCCTAAACTTCTGGCAAGATTGACATCTCCTCACAAAGTTTTTAGCATCTTCTTCCATTGTCGGCCAGTAGTAGCCGAGGTGAATGAGATTTCCATATAATCGTTGCCCTCCTTAATGTTCTGTCTTGTGGGCTTCCCTCAACACCTCATTTGCCTCATCTTTTGATAAGCACGCTAAAGGTTCCCCTTCGAAGCTTTTTCGGTACAGCTTGCCTTGGTTAAGGAAAAAACGGAGGGCTCTCCTTTTAACTCTGATTGTATCAGCTTTGTTCTCAGGCAGTGTGCCCTTTCCAAGGTAGTCGATATACGGTTGCCTCCATTCTTCACTGCTTAAGAAATGGGCTCCTTCTTTCTTAGGATAGGACTGACATTTTGCACATTGCCTCTGTAACTTAGTACTTTCCTTCTCCATCTCTGGCCAGTAATACCCTTACCTCTATATCCGTCGGTATAGACTGATACCTCCATCTCTATGGGACTTAGCATGGATCTGCTTAAGTCTGTAAGTTGTTTATTGTCTACCAATGCATCTTGCCAATAAGTTGTTGGGACTGCGAAAATACAACTCTCCTCTGAGGAGCAGGAATTAAATGCAAATTGTTCCCTGACCAGTTTTCAACAGTTGGATAATATATGTTTTCCACCCCTTAGGATCTTACTCTGTATGTTCTATGGCTAGCACTGCTAGTGTTGTTTTTTGCTCGATAACGATGGCTATACTATCATCTGGCATCTTTACCATTGCCTCTAGTGTAGCCAAGGCATCGGGAAAACGATTGTGTGTTTGAGAAGTATGCTGGATTTGGACATCATCAAACTGAGTGAGCAACTTTTGAACTATGGTACGATACGGGGCCAACAGAGGCTCCTTCAAGGCGAAATCACCCATCATTTTCTTGACAACGAACTTGAAGTCACCCCAAATTTTCAACTTGTGGAGGCCCTTCTTTTGGGCACTTATTAGACCCAATATCAGCATCTCATATTCAGCCTCATTGTTTGAACACTCAAAGTCAAGCTTATATGATAGATGAAACTTCTCTCTTTCTTGACTGGTTAGTGTTACGCCAACTCCACCTTTCCCAGCTACGGAAGTTCTATCAAATTTTAAGTCCCAATAAGTCTCAATTGCAGCTGCTGAGATATGGACTTCACCTGGTAGGGGTACCTCTGCAGATTCATGTTCACCATATAGGAATTGGGCCAGTAAGTCTGCAAGTGCTTGGCCCTTAATAGCCTTGGGAGTAACACAAGTGATATCATATTCTACTAGATCCAAAAGCCATCTTGCCATTCTTCTAGTCAGAACGGGCTTGCTCAGCAAGCAGCGGATTGGATCACTCCGGGTCACAACCTGGACCGGGTGTGCCAAAACGTAGTGGCATAACTTCTGCGTTGTAAAGATTATAGCTAAACAATGCCTCTCAATTGGGGTATATCACGACTCGGCACCATTGACTTTGTGACTGATATGATAGACTGACTTTCGATGCCATCTAGGTCTTGGACAAGTAAAGCTCTAATAGACCGAGGAGTATAAGTTAGGTACAGTAGCAGAGGCTTTTCGGGTTGTGGGGCAATCATTGTAAGCGGGGAGATAAGTGTTTTTTCTTCATCATATCAAAGCCTGTTGGTGTTCTTGCAACCATTTAAACTTGTGATTCCCTTTCAGCAGTGTCCCAAAGGAAAATGTTATCTCAGCAAGGGCTGGAATGAATCTCCTGAGGTACGACACTTTACTTAGGAATTTCTTCAAGGCTTTTTGAGAGTGTGGCGGTGGCATCTCCATGATTAACTTGACCTTATCCCCATCTACTTTGATCCCTCACTAGTGCACAAGAAAGCTAAGGAACTTGCCGGTGGTAACTTCAAAGGCACACTTGAGATGGTTCATCTTGAGGCAAAATTTGCGGCAATGCTGAAAAATATTTTCCAAGTCGCAGAGGTGTCGGTTTGCCTCAGTAGACTTGACCACCAGATCATCCACATATATTTTAACTTCATGATGCAACATGTCATGGAATACTGCAGTCATAGCTCTCTGGTAGGTTGCCCCTGCGTTTTTCAAACCGAAAGGCATCACTATATAGAAAAAAATTTCCAAGGGCGTTCTGAAAGCCGTCTTTTCTGCGTCTTTTTGTGCCATTTTGATTTGATTATAACCACTGAACCCATCCATGAAGGATAACATTTGATGGCCTGCAGTAGAATCGACAAGTGTATCAACATGGGGCAACAGAAACTCATCTTTCGAGTATGCCTTATTTAGGTCGCGAAAGTCTACGCAGACCCTGATCTAACTGTTTTTCTTCTGCACAGGCATAATGTTTGCTAGCCAAGTTAGGTACTGTATACGCTCAATAAACTTGGCCCTCTGTAACTTTTCTACCTCTGTCTTAATCTTTGCTTCAAGATCAGGGTGGTACTTCCGGGCATGTTGCTTGATTGTTTAGAGTTAGGAAAAGTGTCCAAATGATGAGCGACGAGAGATGGGTCAAGACCAGACATATGTCCAGGCAAAGACATCACTGTATTGCTTTAGTAGTGTTATCAATTCTGCCTTAGCTGCTGGAGCCATTGTATCACTGATAAATACTGGCTTGTTCTGCCCAGGCAAGTCACTAAGGTTGACCTCAGCAAGTACCTCCTGCTAGGGTTTGGGCCTATCTTGCATACATTCAGGGGCAGTCTCAGGCATCTCCACCAACCCTTTTTGGGACTCCTCATCGTCACATTTATTAATCTCGGGGCCATCCTCCCAAGGTATGAAGTCTGGCCTCCAAGACCGTCATAGGTAATAAACTGTCTTGCTGCCCTCGCACACCTTAACAATCTTGGGTGGAGGACTTGTGGATTCGCTGCTCCTTTTCTGTCCACTACTTTCTGGAGCAGCCTCTGTATCTCAAATGTCTTCCTATTTTGGCAATTTGGACACCTCATCGTCACATTTATTAATCTCGGGGCCATCCTCCCAAGGTATGAAGTCTGGCCTCCAAGATCGTCATAGGTAATAAACTGTCTTGCTGCCCTCGCACACCTTAACAATCTTGGGTGGAGGACTTGTGGATTCGCTGCTCCTTTTCTGTCCACTACTTTCTGGAGCAGCCTCTGCATCTCGAATGTCTTCCTATTTTGGCAATTTTACCCCTACAATCTCACCAGTCCTTAGAGTTTCATCCGTTGACAACTCAATAAAGAAAACTGCATCCGAATAGTATGCCTTTTCCACTCCAAATGGCTTTTCAGATGCATTTATGGTCACTGTATGCTTTTCCAACTTTACTTTCATGCACTGGTGATAATTGGACGGGATAGCCCCATATTGGTGCATCAAAGCCCTACCAAGTATCATATGGTAATTTGTGTCCGCTTCCATCACATGGAACTTAGTGGTGGAGAGGATCTCGCAAACTGCTAAGTCCATAAGCACATGGCCTTTGGTAACTTTTTTCTCACCTTCAAAACCTGTTACAGTCATCGGTTGCCGAATTAACCTAAACTCTAGGATACCAGCCTTTGTAAATGTATCAGTAGTGATGATGTTTATCGACACCCCACCATCAAGGAAAGCACGCTTGAACTGTACATCATTGATGTAAACTGTGAAAAAAAGATAACGGTTATAAGGAAATGGGTATGCTCTGTCTGTTTTTGAAAAAGTAATGGCCCCATAATCTTCTTGGATGTGTCAAGGCATATACTCCTTAGCCTCAGCAACTTCAGCATGGTGCACTTCAGAGATATTGATGAGGGCCTTTGTTGCTTCCATCTGGCAGCTTGGCTCAACCCCAACTGGTCAAAGAAAGTGCAAAACTTAACAAAATTTTGCAAGGCCTGAGCATGAGTATCCTTTGCGAATTTTGCCTCTGCAGGTACTGTTTCAGGGAGGTGGCCAGTTGTGATTTCTTTTAACTCATCATAGTAGGATGCCATGTGCACTTGATCGCATACAGGCCCAAGATAACCAATCATGTGTACATTCTTCCCATTCTCCTTGTGATTATGATAGGGGTTCTTTCTTACATCACGATTATCGGCATCTTTGAACTTCAGCTCGTTTGCGTCAACTTTCTTCTTGAAGATACTTTTTAACGTCCAACAATCCCTAGTAGGGTGTTTGGTGGTTCTGTGATAGGCACAGTAATCTGGGCTTTCTTTGTCTTTCTTGGTTGGAGTGACATCAAGCGGAGGCAAAGTAAGTTCACCATTAGCGACCCATTCTTTAACCAAGGCCTTAACATTCTCAAGGCTGCAAGGATATGTATTTCTATCCTCATAACTCTTCCTCTTCTGAGCGGCTCCCTCCTGTAGAGGTCACCGTAGCAACTCTGCTACTGCGGGAGTAGCGGTGGCTGTCACGAGATCTGTGTAAAGGACCAGTGGTACTGAGGTTTTTAGCTGCCTCAATCAAGGCTGAAAAGGTAGGCAAATTATGGTTCACCAAGAAAATTTTGTAGTCGCGTATGACACCCTTCACACATATGCTGACTAAGTAAGCCTCATCCACTGGCTCATAACAGTCGATAGCCTTATCTTGGAACCACTTAACATAGTCCAGTATATCTTCGCCTTCTTTTTGGACATCTCTCCCAAGTGTGAGGGTTGTAACTTTCTCTTGGACTTGGAAGAACTTCGTATGGAACTTGTTCACCATCTCTTCCCAACTCTTGATCGGGTTGGGAGCCAAGTTCACATACCAACTGTAAGCCTTTTTAGTAAGTGATTTGGAGAACTCCCGAAGGCGTAGAGAGTGGTCACTGCCATGGATGCTAAGAGTTTCAATGAACCTCACCACATGTTCTCTAGCCTTGCCTTGTTTTCCATCAAACTTAATAAACTTGGGCATTGTATACCCAGTTCAGTATGGCATAGTCAATATCTCCTGAGAGTATGGGGGTTTCACATCTGGGTCTGGGAGAGACGGTAGCTGCTTCTTGCTTGCTCTTGCTCGAGCATAGCTTGTACATCGACAAGAGTAACAAGGTGAGTAGGCTAGAATGGTCTAGTCTGCTCCTGGGTAGCTGAACCAGTAGCTGTACCGTTCGTCTGAGGTACCGCCAGAGGCACCTGGATTAGAGCCCAAACCTCAGGGAACAAGTTAGGCACTGGGTTTGGGAGTACTACAGGTAGAGGTGCTTGCACCGGAGCTGGTCTAGAAGTCATGGCCATAATAGCCTCAGTGAGAGTTTGCAAAGCTGCCAGGATCTCCTTCTACGTATCTTGGAGTGACTGAACTGCCTCAATGACAACATTGTGGTCATCGTCTTCCACATGTGTTGCTTCGCTATTGGAAGAGCCTTGCTGCCGTAGGAGTTGCTGAACTTCATCTTCTGCCTTTTTTTTTCCAGCGAAGTGTGTAAGCCACTTGTAGCTCGGCTTTTTGCGCTCCCTTTCGGAAGAATGAATAGCCCTTACAGTTCGGACTTCACTTGTGTTGGTTTTGAATCTAATTTCACAAGTGCAATGTGAAACAGTGGAAACACAAAAAGAGTCCAAATCTGACAATTTCTTTTGGAAAATCAATGTTTGAATCAAATGCCAAAAATAGACTGCTTTGCCAGATTTCAGAGTCGCCACCTAAATATTTATTTTGGAAAATTTAGGAAACCCATGACTCATGCCAAAGGCCATTAGTCCGTCATCACCAAAGTGTCTTGGTTCGGGAGCTTAAGTATGAGAGGGGAAGGTCAATAATTGAACACCCCATTCACCCGATCAAAGATCGGCCTCTACTAATCATGATATGATTTTTATGTACAATATATGTTCTTGTTCTGTATGTAACATACAAGTATAGACTAATTTCACGAAAAGTTGGAACGTTTGATTTCATGTTTGTTTTGAAAAAAAAAAAAAAGTGTTTTGAATATGTATCACTTAAAATGGTGATCTCATATATACATGAATCAAAGTATCCTAATTCAAGTGATTAGCTTTCATCCACAGGCATTCAAACAAGTATATCAAATAAGCAATTAGTCTCACGGTAGTATGTTTGATATGATAACATTCACACTTATACAATATGTTAAAGCAAAAATGCTTACCTTAATGTCCAAAGGCGAGTCCAAAAAAGAAAGCAAATAGTTAGAAAAAAAATGCATGATCCTAATTTAATGACTAATGCAACACATGCAACGTGCAATTAAGGTTTGGCTACTAGTATGGCATGTGAGTCAATTAAAGGCATGTGATATGCAAGTAAGGAGTTTGAATTTGTGGTGGGTCATTGAACACACCAAAATTAAATACTAAACGATACCAAATTCAATCAGAATAATGGTAAGTTCAGGTATTGATCCACAGGGACTATTGTGAAATTAAACTAATTTAATTGTCAAATTCCTAAATTAATTTTGAGAAAAAGATTGGTTGTTTATAACCTAATTTAATAACGAATAAATTAAACTAATGAATTAAATTATCAAGAATAATTGAATTTAGGTTTACTGAATTGGGAAAAAATCGTAGGGTAGAGAATTCACCACTAACCACATAATTAGGGTTTCCAATTGAAATTAATTATGCTATGGTTTGAACGGATTAATGCTTCGCAACTACAAGCTCAAAGCATTTAACAAGAAGATCATCACATTCAATGTACGAGCACGAACCATCTCAAGTAATACGAATCGTTCACTCTAAACTAGGGTAGTGATACGACTCGTTCCTCGTAGCATGATTCGTCCCATACCTTGAATGTGAAGAAATAGAAAACTCATGTATGGATAATATTCAACAATCACAGAAAGTCAAATATTTGAAAAGATAATGAAAATTATATAAAACAAACTTCTAAATCACCATACAAATGTTCAAACCTTTACATAATTAAAAATAAAAAAGAAAACTAAATAATTACATGGCTAGGGTTTTATCAAAACCCTAGAAAAAGGAGACTAGCCACTTATGAAAGAGTGAAAGGAGGTAGATGGAGAAGAAACCACCATGGGAGACATCCTTGAAGTTTTTTGTTTCTCCTCCCTTCAAAACCCTAGCCTCTCTCTTTAGGTCAAAACAACTTCCCAACCCTAATCCAGCCTTTTACTTGCCTTTTTATCCTTCAAATCTTGTCCAAACAGGTTTAAAACGTCGGTTTGACTTTTTCAGAAAAAGTCAACGCACGTGCGGGAAAGTCAACTCTGCCCAAATTCTGTCTTTTTGCTCATTTTATGCTCCGACGATGTACAACCTGATTGACACTCAACACACATAAAATATACAGTTTGACCAACAAGTGAAATTAAGAGACTCTAATTAATGGCCTCAATGATGTACATTTCAGCCTTAATCAATAACACCACTACTTGACTGTGAGAACAAATTGGCAATTCTTTTTCTCAACAACCACCAAAAAAAAAAATGAAAACAAGAGAGAGGAAGAGAGAGAGAGAGAGAGAGAGAGAGAGAGAGAGAGAGAGAAGCCTCATTAATGTCTTAACATTAATTTCACATTTTCCATGCCAAACATGCATCTAGGTTTGATATAGTTAAAACCCCA